TTTTTCTAGTAATTCAGGAATTAACCCCTTAAAACTGGGTAGTGTCTAAATGTAAAAGAGAAATTTATTTTGTTCCTGACTAGCTCTTTAATCGAAACTTCTGCCCTTTCAATAAATGACCTATATCCAAGAGTGAAATGGTCATGGTACTTACTATTAAATTCACAAACCCTACATCTTTAGACCAAGAGTCACTAAACCAACAAGCATCAAGAATTAAAGCAACACATATCTGTAAGCATGGGATGCTGCTTACTTCCAATACAGTACACACAGAAAGGAATACTAGACACACAAAGAAGCCATTATATAGTAGCTTTTCTAGGCATTATTCTCAAAAAACACATTTTCTTTGTTCTTCCCTGCCTTCCCACCTTATCTTCTGTCTTTTTGTTGGACTGAGGGTTTTTGAAGGTGTTTGACATTTTAGAAACAGAAGCTGCCTGCTCGGAATTTCTGTGGGAAAGCCGAGAAAACGCTCGGTATCTGTGCTTGCTCCCCAGACATCCTTCTCCAGCTGGCACCGAGAGCATTTTCTTGCACCTTTCAGAGAGCCTCCAGGTACTGCAAGTTACTTGGCAACATTACGCCTTCATCAGTTGGAAAGCATTTTGCTCATTTTCCATGTTTGGAAGCCTCCCAGCAATAGAATCAGACCACTTACAGCAATGTAGATATGAAGACCAGTAATTGGCATCCCAGAATGCCAGCAACCTCAGCCAGAGTGCCTGAATGGTGCAGGATCAGTGTAAGTAAGTTTCCTCTGCAAGAATCCATTCAGTAAATCAGTTCTATAGAAACAGGGAAATCATTGACAAAACTGATAATGACCTCTCAGCTCCACATACCATTGTTGGTGTTACAGAAACCAAGATAGAGTTGAATGACTGGGAACAGTAGTCAAATTCCCCACTCAGAAAAGCAGGCATAATAAATTATTTCCAACTCACTGAATCCACTTAAACTACAGATTTACTTTAAAAGAACAGAAGAGAAAAGAGAGAAGGAATCAGAATGTGTTTCCTTCACAGGGGGGAGTAGTGATACTCAATGAATACACGTAACCTTGAGAGACTTGCCCTGCTTAGATTCACTCATAGCTGAAGGCTGTTACAGTAAGAGATGATCAGTCAGATGGCAGATTTTCTTGCCCAGAGATCTGTGCTATCAGGAACTGGGCTTGGCATTGAAGCATTTTTATTTTCTCTGTGCAAAGAAGGATCAGCTTGAAAAAGATTATTCATAGATGGTAGTTATGTAATAGATGCATGTAAATAGCAAATTAAATTCCCAAGTGGGCATTCAGAAAGCAGAAGTGCCCTGACCACTCAATTGTCTTAACTAACAGATGCTAAGTCACTGAACTCCATCCTTTTCTAGTGACAAAGTACCCATGGCTGCCTTTGAACCAAAGAGAAGTTGTACTTTGTAGAATCTAGTGAGCTTGGGAAGGGGGTAAAGAGCCAAATTTCATTAGCTCTGGTTATTTCCTTCTTCTTCGTACTTTTGCTTCTTCATAGAGGAGAACTATGATCATATGGTTAGCAGGTTATAAAGAAACCCCTGATGATTACTCTCTTTTCCTCAGCTGTCTTCTCAATAACTCTACTATAAATTATAGCGCCAGTGGTCTAAAGCCACATTTCTTAAATTCTTAAAGTTTAACAGAGCTTGTTCACTTTGCAAGCACTTTGACTAAGATCAGTATTTATAAACAGAGAAGAGTGTAGTTAAAGATTACACTTTTACAGGTGAAAGTAGTTCTGAAAATGTAGTTCTAAAGGGCTTCTTGCTCAGATATTCCTACCTCTGTCAAGATACACCATACTTTCTGCAGAATAATACACATTTTGGAACTACTCTGCTTTTTCTGGTGGTGATTTTCTTTTTAAACATGTCCTTTTAAGACAAGGATTGATTAGATAACCTTACAAATTTGTGTTTTAGAAATGCCAAATAGTGCACCAACCTCTTGTGGTCATTCTTAGTAATACACTTTTGAGCTATGGAATATGATTTTGCCCTTCATCTTCCATGTTTAACTCCTAAGAAGTACACCTAAAACTTCCAGTGCACGTTAAACTGTCTGCTCTTAAAATCCTCTGTCAGTGGACAGAGCAAGTTCTTTCAGATTACTTTTATCTGTTTCCCATGATAAAAAGAGCAAGATAAGATCAAAATAGTCTCCTGAAGGATTAAGTATTGTACAGTGGTGGCTCATTTTAACTAATTTTCATCACTACAATTAAATAGAAGCTGTAAACAGCTCTTGCATTACTAGGACTTTAGGATCTGAAACTAATTTATTTGTTCACTGCATTTTCTTTCACTGTTTGAATTTTATGGCATAGTTTAGGTGGGGGGGAAGGACACCTGGACTCCTAGGCCGTGTTCATAAGCATATCACAATATTCCTGTGTAATGTCTCAGGAACCTCACTTAAACATCACTTGCTGTTGGATAACACCATTTACTAGCAAGTGTGCAGCTACCTATTGCTGTTGCACCATTTACTCCATTCTAGACAAGAAGTTACTGTAATTTCTGCAAAGCATTAATTTGTAATTAACTTGAAGTACTTCTCCAATTTTAATTTAGTAGTTAAATCCTGTTAATTCTTATTAAAACATGGGTCCTTCTTAGTCAAACTGAGCTCAATATCTGATTTGTGTCTTAGACAAATCTTTTAAGTCCCTTTAAACAGTTTCTCCTCCTGTTAAAACTTTGACAGTACAAAAGAAAACCAACTGAGCTTCCTCAGTTTGCCTGATTTTACTGTACAGCTGTTACTAGTTTCTGAAATTACACCCATTCAAATTGAGACTGACCTAAGTCAGGGCATAATTTCAGCTAAGAAAAACCATCAAAAGCTCAAAGTGTATTTCCAGCACCTCAACTCTTAACATAGAAATAGGCATTCTCAAAATAGCATATCTGACTGGCCCACTAGCCAAAACCAGTATTATTTTTTTTAATCTTATTCCTGAGTACGCACAGGCCAAACTTACAAGTATATAACTTGCTGCTGCCTTTGGAGAAATTAGATTAAATTGTTTTTCTATTTCCATATAGTTTCTGATATTTGAAAGGAAGTACACCAGGACTCCCTAGCAGGGAGCACAGTCAAATAAAGGCATATGACAGAAAAAAACCCAAGCAGATACAGTTAAAGAACCCTGGATGTACATAAAAAGTACACAATACACAGTTCCATGCCAAATCCATCCTGTGTAACAAAAGTATAATCAATCAGCATAATGTGGGAAGCTGTCAGGTTTTTGAGACAGGAAAGAGGAAAATTAAAAGAATTAAAGATGCAGAACCATACACTTGTGCCAAATGTAGAAGACCTACCTGAACACTACAGTGAACTGGTGGAAACAAATTATAAAAGAAGTACTCTCTCTCTCACACATGGCTACCTAAAAATGTGCTATCCATAATGTTCAAAAAGAGTAAAGTGCACAAATTATAAAATCATACAATTTTTGAGATTTTACAATTTATGCTCCAAAATCTCAAATACAGAAATGTGTAATATGTTAAAACTTCAGTCATAGTCTTAATTTCAAAATTTTTAATATCAAGAATTTTAACATTTTTAATGTAATTTTTTTTACTACCATTTGTTATATATGATTTTATGGCATAATTTTACCTGCTACTAAGTAGAGCAATTTTTGTTTACCTCCAATATGTAGACTTAAATTCAGGAAAAAAAAAAAAATAGATCACAGTCTATGACTGTTTATTTGTCTCTTCCTTATACCACTTATAATTAATGGCAAAGTCAGGAACAGAAGAGACTGTATTATTGTACGCTGTATCAATGAACTATTTATACTTGATTTTTCTCATTTCTCCCCCTTTTTCCTTTCTGAAACCAGACAATCAATCAGCACATAAAGGAACTCATTTACATGGAACACTATCACACTTGTCTTTGTTGGGTCACCACTTCATCAACAACCCAGGATGTATGGCTGTTGAGGACTGGCGCATATACAATTTAACAAATGACAGTTCTTATGCAGAGAGCAGTCACAGAGAAAAATAGCTAATCAAAACACATTACAACATTAAATTTCCACTTTTTATAAATGGAGTAAAGATGCTTTTAAATATATTTACAGTTAGAAAAAGGTTTCAGGATTACTACAAATCAAAAATATTTAGAAATTATGAAAGTGAAGTTCATTTAAATTATTACATGAACAGAGCCAAATGCCATATTCTACTTAGAATTTGTCTACTCTGCTATCAGTATTGTCATATCCCTTTACCACAAACAGGCAAACATTACCTTAACAAATGCCAAAACAGGCATCATTGCATTGTAAATGCTGGCAACGTAACAGTTCAGTTAAAACCACCGCAGCTCAGTTTTTAGATCCTAGCTGACTAGGATCTAGAATCAGAGATTTTACAACTGTATTGTATCTCTGATTAGAAACTGCTTTTCTATGTCTTATTTCATAAAGAACAGTGAGACTTTTCTGCATTCTTTTTGATTACAACCATACTTGTACCACATTTTTGAGATTATTCTCTGGAGACAGTTGAATCATAGTAAAGTCCACTCCATCCTCCCTTCCGTCCAAACCAAATGGCTACTTATTTCTGAAGATACAAAGAGTCCTCTTGTTGGCAGTGCTGGGTGGTTTATTCACATAAAGTTAAATGAAAATACGTTTCCCATTTAGTGAACTACTGGTAACAGGTTATTATTTGTTTGCAAGGAATTCTGAAATGTGTTAGCATTCATTACATTTTAAATTAGAAACACATTTCATAAAACATCTATCATTAAACTGCTTACTTTAAACAGTTTCAGCTCTCTTGTAATCCATTACATCAGTATATTCTGCAAATAGTCCACCTAAAAATAAAATATAAAAAAAATAAAGTTGAGAAGCACATATTTTTTTCTTTTAAAAACTAGTGTATGTTACTCTGCATACCAGCCCAGCCCCCAAAACATTTAAGAACCTTAAAATGCATTGTTTTACAGATACTAAGATTTGGCCAGGTAATGGCAATGAACAGACATCCTATTTAGAAAGATAAAGCAGAATACAGAATAAACAGGTCAGTAGTTACCCATCTGAAATAGCCTATAATTAACATTTGATGTCTAAAAAGTTTAAACAGCAACACCAAGGAATGAGGTATGTATGTTCTCAGATATCACATCAGACTTCCATTTTATGCAACTAACTGTATTTCACAACTAGCATCTTACAAAATAGAACAGTACCATTGTGCTGTAGAAGTACTGCATTAAAAACAGAAAAATACATTACTACAAGAAACCACCAAACATCACAATTGTCAGGGGCTACAAAAATCCATTGCTTTAGCTGTTAGGAGACATATCATACGTTGGTAATAATTTGGGGCTGGATTTACTACCAGTAAGATCTATCCAACTTTTACATGGGCTTAAAAATATATTTACTTTGAATGAAAAAGAAAAGAATCATGGGAGTAAGCAGACTACCTCACTAAAAGGAGCTAAATGAACACTTGTACTGAACCTGAATGTGTAATTTAAAATCTATACATGGCTTGTATGCGTGTATCAAAACACTTATTGGTTGTAAACAAAAATGCAAAATCTGTATTCACAAAAATATTTTATTGGTAATTTTACATAATACCAGATGGGATTGTAAATAGTTCTGCTCTGCATCAGTATATTGCTAAGTGCATAAATGTTGACAGTTTATGCCATAAAGTAGGGTACTGAGTTTTTACATATGATTTATGACATAATATATTCTAATAGGCCAAATCAATATTAAAGAAATTGATTCAGGAACAAAAAATGAATAGTATTGTTATTTCCTTATTCTTGTGCAACACCTGATATTCCTGTAATGAAATAAGTGACTATGTGACACTAGATAAATTTGGGGCAAGGAAATAGCACTAAGCAGAAATGAGAACTGCACTTCTGTTAATTTTAAAGCTTTTCCAAACTTTCATATTTCCAAATGTTGGGTTTTGTCAAATTCATCATCATCTGAGGTTCAATATTTGTTATACAACGTAGAATACCAGTGTACAGTGACAATGTTGTACTTTACCTGAATTGTAAGGTTAACCAATCAATGCTTAGAATGTGTTTTCTATTTTGCTTGTAAACATTACAATAAGTGTTTTAAAGTGTGAAAAAAATATTGGTAAACCCATCAACATAATTCAGTAACAGTAATCTAGTAAAATGTGTCAAACATTGGCAAAAATTCATACAAATGTTTTATTTAATAACATTTTCCCTATTTAACCACACCAAGTACCAGCAGGTGTTTTTAAGATAATTATTATGAAAATTCTGTTGCAGCAATAGTTGATTAAGTTGATCTTTGACTTGCATACATATAACTATGTTTCACAATTCTCAAATAATACATATTTAGGCAACTTGAACTATGTTATAAAAATTTAAATTCAGTACATGCCAATAGTAAAGACTCCAAGAGTTGTGTTAGAATTCACTAAACTAAAAGTGAAAATGGACTTACCAATAACACTGCATAACAAACATTCAAACCACATTTTCATGGCACCTTTACACATGAAGATTAAAAAGTTGGTCTGAAAATGCTTCGTAAGCATTTGTAGATTGCGTTTAAATTATTGTTTCTACCACTGCACTTTTTTTCCTTATTTAAAACTGCATAAATTATGTTCCAGTCAACATACCAATTGTGCATGAACAATCTGTCATGAAAATGTGGTAACGGGTGACAGAAGTTATGTATTTGCATGTTTTGAAGAGACTAAAGAAACTGGAGGAAATAAACTTTAATGAGATTCCCCATTCAGTGATGACGCTTCTCCTCTGGGCGAGGATGACCTGGACATTCCCCTCTCTGTGTTATCAGAGCTAGAACCACTCTGACTGTGTTGATCTGCAGAAGCAGCACTGGAAGCAGGTGGTGACTTAGTTTTCTCCTTAAAGTCTGTAATTATGACTGTCAGATCTCCAACGGTAACTTCCAAATGCTGAGCGCTACTTCGATCCACATTTTTCAATCTTGGCCTAAATAAAGCGAATAATCATATTAAAAGCACACACACCATCTTATTATCTTACTTCTTAGGAGCTCTGGAGAACATGCATGTGTATATACGACCACTACGTGCAACATGTAATACACAGGAAAACAACATACCACAGGTATTTATAGTAGACTGTTGCCTAGTATGTTTTACATTAAAATAGCTGAACATAACACATTTCCTTCTTCTAAGATTATTTAATAGTTGACCTTATGAATAATGTAACTGTGAAGCAACATGGACGTGTCTGTTGCACTCATGAAGTTTTCTAAAGGCTTCTAAAAATGAAGTCTGTCTTTATTATGGCTATAGAAAGTTATAATTTTGATCCAGATAAGCATCCATATCTGCAGCAGCCTTAAGCAACAATTCTAAGTAGAGAATGATGTTCTGTAATGAAGATACTGGTGTCTGATTTTTGAAATCAACAGCACTGACAGTGTTACCTTGCAGCAAGTATTACGTCATTTCAAAACTTCGCTAGGACTGCTAATGTATTATTTGAACTGGACTCTGTCTTCACAGTACAACTCTGGTATATCCTGGCATATGATGTGATTTAAATTATGCACAGAGCTACACTCAGTGTTGACAGGCTAAGTCTCTTCATCTAATCTTTCAATTGTTTGATTTTCACAACGAAAAGGACCAAAGAACACTCTGGCTTATATCTGCCATCATATTTTTGCTAGTGACAAGCATAAAGTACTTCCAGTTTATTACTTTCCTTTGACTACCATGGAAAACTGTCACCAAATAGCTGAATTTATACAAGCTGTTATGAACAGCATAGCTTTATGCATCGACCTGATTCAAGCTGCAATAAAATAAATGACATCACATGTTAGCAGGTGTGCTAACAGCAAAGCCCTAACCTTTACCCTATCATCTGACTTTGTCTGAAGTAGAGTTGGTTCCCATTCACTTCGGCTGAACCACCTTGTGCTTTTCCTCCACTAGAATAGAGATAGGCTTTCACACCTTGTTCCCCTGAGGCTGAAGTAGCACAACTGAAGAATTCAAGAGAAAACTGAAAATCTGCTGCTCTGTAATATGAGAACAGAGAGAAAAACTCAGCATTATCAACCTGTGTATGTGCTATGCCTGGAGCTTATTAATCATCTTGAGTGAGCATGCAGATTTTTATGGTCCTTTCCAGCAATAATGTGCAAGTTTTAAGGCAAAGAGAAAAGAATATCCTTTTCCCAGAGGATACAGAAGTCTGCTTAAACTAATCAAACATTCCTAACTCACTATCCTACCCAGCAAATCAACTCTGTGAAAAATCAAACTGTTTGAAGCATTAAAAAAGTAGCTTAGTTATTTCAAATAGCAATTCTTAATGCAAATCTCAATACCGGCATTTCAGTCCAAGATTTTTTAGTTATTTGTTAAACATTCTCCCTCTTTCCCTTGCATTTTTAATGTACTACTGCAATTCAACCATCAATACTTCAGTTTATAATATTTAACCAGCTTAATTAATACTCACTATGTTAACTTCAAATACTTCATAACTGGAGTACTTCAGCTGCATGAGGTAAGCTAGTAAATGTAGTACTGAATTAAAATAAAGAAAAGGACGAAACATCTCAGTGTCCTTAATCCTAACCATGACTTTCTCAATGACTGCTCTCTCTTGACTCTCAATCTCTTCCAGGTTCTCATCCTGATGATCCTATTTCAAGCCCAAGAGAAGCATCTGCTACTTCTCTGCGTAACTAATCCAAATGATCTTCCTTGGCTGGACTACTTTAGAGTGCCTCCGAAAAAATGAAAATAACAATAAAAAGCAAAAAAAACCCATAAATCAGTACTTCCTCCCACATTTGATTAGACTACATGTCTCTCATATTTCTAAACTTTTTTGGCACAGCATTCTAGCCACAATAGCTTTATGCTTACACTATAATGATTTAGGGGTTAAACTTGCTGCTTTTGTGTTGCAGTTCACACCCTCCTTCCACCTGGTCAGGATAAGGCTTTTACAACGGCTTGTCTGTACTGTAGTATTTCATGTTTTCAATTCTAAGAGTCCAAGGTTTCCTTCAGCATCCCAGATGTAACAGAGGTTTTTATCACTAGGTAATATACGTGCCTTCTCCTGTCACGCTGATTTATACCCTAGTTCAGCCCTTCAAAGTTTATTCCAGTTCTGCAAGGATAGCAATAACCATATTACCGCTCTGCAATCTGTCTGGTTCACTTTCCCCCTTATTATTTTACATAAAAACTAGTCCCTCCTGTCCCCTCTCTTTTCCAGCGACTAGTATCTTTCATTTGACTATCTACAGTTTTGGATGGTTTGAGAAACACATCCATAACCATTAATGAAAATACTGAAGTGTTTCTCTCTATATTCAGCTGGTCTCCATCTTCTGGTTAAAATTACAAACTGCAGGTTTTCTTTGCATTTAGTAGGCATCCTAATCCAATGAAACTTCATGCACAAATATTTAACCTTATTGTTGAAAGAGTATGCCACAGCACGTACAAAGCAGTAAAACCTCACAACATTTTCTCATTTTCTTTTCTAAACTGTGTTTTATCAATACTGCAAAAGTTTCAAAAATTTTTACCTGGTTTTCTTATGACTGTTCTTTTTGCTTGTTGTTTCCTTTTCACTTTTTTCCTTTTCTACTTTGTCTTTTTTCTCTTTCTTTGATTGTGTAGGGGGCACAAACTGCTGAGGAACCTGTTGTGCAACCAGCTGAGAGACAGGTCGAGGTTTCCTGTGTGCACATATATATATATATAGACACTCATAATGCTTAAATTTTACAAGTCTCAAACCCTTTACACTTCAGTTATTAACATTAACAAGCACTATAAAAAGAAATACTGCTAAAACTGATCTTGCTGCTAACACTTCATTAAAATAGCATATCAATTTAAGCCATTACAACCTTTTGTTTCACTTGCATAATCAACAAATGAGATTTAGTTGGGTTTTTTTTAATGATTTAGAGACAAGATTTTGCAATGTGCCCTCCTCTCCCAGTTGTCATATCCAGGCAGAGACTTACACAAAGTGAACTCCAAAAGATGAAGCTTTGCCAGCCATTCCCAGCCACCTCAAATGATGGAGGGGTCTGTTTTGAGTGTACTCCAATACAGAAGTATACAACCCATAACGCAAAAAGAGAAAAGCTGAGCTTTCAGGTATCAGAGCTGAAGCCCCAGTTTGCCTTATAGAGTAAAACTTCAGTGTTTTCAGCTCAAACAAATCCATTGAAAGCAATGGCAAATCCTGTTGTGTATCATTTTTAACAAGCTATTCACTGGTAAAAAATACGGTGCACTAATATTGGCAGGATGCAGCTATCAGAACATACATACTTTAAAAGCCAGCAACAGAAACTTCCAACCACATTCTACCAGTGTACACAGTGGAGGTTTCATTTGCAAGTTTTAATCTGAACTAAAAAACAGGGTGGGAAGAGGAGCAACAGGCAAAAGGATTTCAACAGTTTATTATTTTTACATTTTCTGAAATACTATTTTGAAATGGTTTCATTTTGTATTGGAATACATGGATTTTAATTTGAAATGAAACATTTTACTCTTCCCAATGCAAGTGAATTTATTTATTTTGAGATCTGGGAATTAAGAAATTTCAAGTCATGACATACACAAAGGAAGATTCTGTGGTTCTATTGAGACTTTGAAGATGCAAATTTCTTCTCCAAAAGACCGCTTACCCTGCCAAGCTCTTGGGTTTTGTCAGCTGGGTTGTGTTGTTGGGTTTTTTAAATAGAAAAAGCACAAATTATATGCACTGTGATAGTCTGAAAATACAAACCAGTTACTGAAGCAACAGAAGGCATGAGCTCTTACACATATTTATTTATCCCGACCCACATGATCACACTACCAGCACTTTTTGCTCAGGTGAAGTGAACAGTAAAATAAAAAAAGGCAGAAAAATCAAGGCAACTCCCATTAGCAAGTTGTATTTTCAGTAATGATTGCAATAGTTCATGTTACAGAGTGAAAGCCAAGTTACAAGAATCCATAAAGTGTGGGAAAGGTGGTTAATATAAACCAGCTGAGATTACATAAGTCTTCAGAGCAAGTTTTTAATGAATTAAAGTAAAAATAAAGACTACTGAAAATGTCAACACAGCAGAACTTTAGGTTAAAACCTAGACTACTGTATACGATTCATAATTAGTTCACAGTTAGCAAGAACTAAGCCCATGCTAACTCATGGAGAGACAAAGATTAGCAACAGGTCACTTAGTGAAAACTACCCAGCTTATATCAACTGGCAAATACATGACTACATGTTTTCCATGAGACCATTGCAACCAGGACCTTGGAAAACACACAGTATAGAGAGTCCGGAATCACCGAAATGTCTCAATGGACTACAACTGTTTACATTAGCAGAGTACATAGGACATTGTTAAGAAAACTTCTGCCTCAGAACTGTTTTGATCTTTTATCATAACAAAGCAAGAACCACCAAGGTGCAATTGCTTCACAAGCTTACAATTTCAGGTGGAAAACACTTGCGGTATATAAACAGAACTGATAATCTGTCTTGAAGATTGTTCCAGGACATAGGGATGTGGGGAGTTAATATTTCTAGTGATGGCCAAGTGACAATCCTGACATTACTACACAGTGATCTGACAGAATGATCTGACGAGTTGAAGTTAGACAGCAGTGAACTTCTACACATAGACATAATTATCGCTCAGGACTATGGATAACACCATGATCATGGAAACTTGCTAAAAAGGTCTAGAGAGAGGGAAAAAAAATTCTTAGCCAACTATTTTAGGAGTTCTCAATTTGCAACAGCTAGGAAATTAATCTTAGAACTACTTTTTCTAGTGCCATTAACCAAATGACAAAAAAGATCTTTACCATAAGGAATAAAAGTCAGTTAAGACAAAGAAAACCCACAGAGAAATCACATTTGGAAGGATGCACTAAAAATTAATATAGAGTTTCTAACTGGTTTTGCTGTGACAAAGAATTCCACTCAAATATTGTATTCCTTGCAATTAAACACCCACCTTTTTGTTGTCAATTATTTCTACAGCTATCAGTTGTATCTATGTTCTGCAATTTCTTACCTGCTTTGTCACTTCCCAATTGCTTAAATGAGGCATTCAGTGGTTTTATCTTAAAAATTTGAGGGGAAAAAAAAATACAATTCACATCTCTGAACACTGATAGTGTCTTTCAAGCATTCCTTATCACCTCCCTTGCCACAGGTACTCAAGAGGGGCTACTGAACTGCAAGCAAGGGCTTTGCAAGCCAAACAGGCTTCAGGAGATAACTTGACCACTCATGAAGCTTTAACCTGATAGAATTGTTCATGATTTAGCAGGAGCTGAATCATGTCATTCAAGCATGAAAGAATTCATGGAGAGAAAGCCTTCTCTCAGAGAAGATAAATGGAAGAAAAACTATTCCTGTAACAGGAAATTGATTTTGATGATTTGCCAACATACGACATTTTAAATTACTGGTTTTCAAAAGGAGTTAAAGACTCCTTGTAATAGGCTGCTGCAGATTAAGTAGATAGGGACAATGTTAACACTGCCTTTTACTTCATCAATATGTTTATAGTAATTTGCTTTTTGAACATACTCAAGAGCACTTCTTTAGAAAGAAGCTCTATAAACTTCTGCATTACAACTACAAAAATTTTTGCCTCTGTCACTGGGAGTGACTTTACAACTGAAGAATCTAGAACTAGAGGTAGAAATGTTCATAAATACAATACATATTGCTTAGCCCCTCAAAACTTTGCATTTTTTTTCTAATAATTTCGCTTCAGTCATTTTAAGTGGAACACTAATAAAGAGATTATATGCTATTACAAAAGATAAGACCTATCAACTCTTTCCAAAGGAGGTGAACTTTATAGTTTAGTCCCTAAGCACTGCAGCTGTACCAACAAACTGATTTACTGAGCTTCCAAGAGATCACTAAACATCACAACTCCAAAAATTTTGCCTCTCTTTATCTATCACTTAGTTTTCCTTTACAGCCAGTGTTACCTTTCTTCTACATTAACATCAGCCATACTTCTACCTACATTTCTATTCCAACCTCATCCATTACAGTTTTATTAATTATTTAATTTCAGTGCTGCTTTCAAGGTCCTGCATACAAATACTCACTTCATAATCTCCTTCGAAAAATAAGGAAAACTTACATTTCTGCTTTTTTAAAAAGCCAACAGACAGTAATACAAACATTCAAGGAGACAGTTTTTGTCTTCTCTGTAATCTCCATTAATGCTAAATGACAAGGATGTCGTCATTTTAACTCTATTCTTCTTGTTGCTGGATGTGACTACATTTTATTTTACAGGATTTTATCTGGTTTAGAGAGTATATTTACAGAAGCTGCAGAGCCTTGTCTATTTAGATTTTGTGTGAAGAAACTCATTCAACACTGATGCTCTCAAAGGGAGCAAACATTTAATACTGAGATAGATGGACTAGTTTTCACTGTTGGCATTATTTAAAAAAAAAATAGCAATATACATGCTTAGAGATGAACAATCTTCATTCAAGACTACATGCAGTGCACTAGACCAAATGATATCTGGAACTTTTGCCCCAAGTCATTTCCCTCTCCCAGAACCCAACACATTACCTTCCTGCTCATAAGTCACTTTGGACATCTCACAGCAGTACACGATTCCTTAATTTCCCTCACCTAGCATTCACCGACAGTCTAAGTAAAAAGAATTCTGACTAATTTGATATAGTGAAATAACTTCGTCTCATTATACAAAGTAGAAAAAGATCTATGTATAATACTAATAATCAACATACACAGCAGAAGCACAGCAAGCTCTCAGTAGCTCGAGTTGTGCATTCAACATGCAGACGACCAAACTGGCTTAATGCCGAGGCATCTTGGGGTCTGTCTGAGTTTATTTAATTTATTCACAGCACAACTACATTTGCACAGTGCTGCTTTTACAGCCATCACGAGTCCATGAAGCAGTCTTCATGTCTCCTGCACTGCTCAGAGCACGAGCTCAAATCTCAGAGACAGACCTGAGCTACGTATCTGTCAAACCAGCTCTAGGGTCCGTCTGCTACAGTCTGGAAACAGAGAGCATGACGTGGGCAATTGTTAGTTTTCCATGAACCAACCCCAAATCTAGCTACATCTCAAGCAAGTCCAGCGTCAGCACGATGCACTCCTGTGTGCCGGGTCAGGAGAAGATTTCACGTGTTTGGTGCTACATATCCTGAACACACAGAGCCAACCAAGTAAGACTGCCAAGCAGCACACAGTGCAGCCAAGCTAATAAGACTGCTGAGGAGCACAGCACAGCGACATCAACAGTCCAACAGCACAGCCAACAGCTTAGCTTTGATTCGGTGTGAGCCACGCTGGAGTTGGACTGGTCCACACAGAACCAGTACCCGTATCCTCTCTGCAGCCACATACCTCAGAACATAACCTATGCTTTTCTGCATAGAAAAACATGCTATAATTAAGTGCAAGTGCTGAATATATACACCTTTTCAACCTGTTGCGGAAAAAATGTATTGTCATCTATAGCACGTGATTTGCAGGGTCCAGATATTCTGAAGAATACGAGACATACTCAAAAGCACACTCTTGAAGCTAAATCTCCTCTGCTTTGTGTATTTATTACTGTAGAAGTATTAAAATTACAGTTTCTCAGTCTTAACAGAACGTGTCTAAATTAAGGAAATGCTGTCACCTCAGCTTTCAATCAAGCTGAAAAATATTCTTCAACAGATAACCTGGATCCAGAA